GAGAAGGGGCTATCCCGCCCTCCTCTGCATGAGGGACCCAGAGAGATCCCCTTGCAGGGCTGCCCAGCCTGAGGGAGCTTCTTCACCCCCTTCCCCGCCCTGACCATTCCCAGGCACCTCCCAGTCTGGCTCAGTCTCGTCCCCCCAGCTCTTCAAGAAAAACTGCATCCCAAAACAATGAAGTTGGGAGGACTCTGGTATCTTTCTCCTCCCTTTCAGCTAAATGTTTAATCGCTATATTTACTGCTCAGTTACTTCTGCAGCTTGACTCTAATTGGCTGTTCCTGGCAACACCCTGCTCACCCTCTTCCTATATGTAGTGGTTGGTGACCTCCGTTTCCATGTATCTGAAGCAGTGTGCGTGCACAGGAAAGCTTATACCCAGAATGAAATTTTGTTGGCCTTAAAGGTGCTACTGGACTCAAACTTTGTTCTGTTTCCTCCCTTTGTATACTCTCTAGGAACCACATCTCTTGTCTGCTGCTTAACCCTTTAGTAGCTCTTATGGACAGAGAGAGGGGAGAAGACTTGTTTAATGACTTCAAACAAAATTAAGAAAACACTTAAATGGGCCTTTTAAGGCCCTTTCGGGCCGAATGATTCTGCTGTCTAATCCTAGAGGTGTAAAGTCTAGCTCTGGTTTCTCAGTGCGGCTGGCAAGGCACTCTGTTCATGCTCAAAGGCATTGCCAGCTAAAGGTAGACTAGGCTGAAAACAAAAGGGAGTAAAATGCTATACAAAAAAAGGATAAGGAACACTCACCCAGTGCTTCCAAAAGACTCTTAAGCCCTCCAGAAAATCACTGAACACTTCAACTAAGGCATGAATGTCTTGGCAGTGTCACCTGAGGTTGCCAAGCAGCACCAAAATGGCAGCCAAGATCTTATCTGAACAGCATTCATTTACAAGTGTGAAATTGTCAAACTGACTCAATGTCGTATTGGCAGCGATGCCCATTCCAAATTAATGTTATGAAACCGTAAATCTTTAGTTGAATATTATGACCAGAAGAATGAATCTTTGGAAAAATTTCCCAGCCAACATCTTTCCTCTCAACCGTCTTGAAGTGTGCAGTCCAAAGGAGAGTTTACTTACTTGGGCTTAGAAGGGAATGACTTCGCTCAGCCTTGCTCTATGATTAGTCCCGTTCCGGGGTAAGCCATGGAGCCACACTCTTGTCGGAAGGAGGATGAGGACACTGGAAAGTCCGATGCCTAAGAAGTGTCACATCTCAGACCTGATCAGGGACTTCAGGAGAGATACTATTCGGACTCTCAAATTCTCCCAGAACATTCCATAATCCAAAGTATGGAGAACGAGGTCCTTGGGACCCTGTGGCACATATGAAACACGGATCCCTGAGCCCGTTCTGGGACCAATCAGAAGGATTCCCTTCATCATCTTCTTTGCTGAACAGCCCCTTTTCTTTCTTCTCCCCACCTATCAATGAATGGATGCCACAAATCGCAGGTAGATGGGGGAGCAGGGTGATACTGTGTTGAAGGATAATCTTTCTGAGGTGGGCATTAGGAAATTTTACCAATTTGGGTGTCTGAATTACCCACACCTTAAGGCTTTTGCTTTTAAAATTCTGTCTATGTTTGGGACAACGTATGTCTGTGAACACCTCTTTTCTGTAAATGAAAGTCAATAAATCAAAAGTACCTTATCAGCTTAGGGATACACACCTAAACAGCACACTCGACTGCTACAGCACAGACATTGACTCCAGATTTCAATGCAATGATTCAGAGCAAGAGGTGTCAGTTATCAAAGATCATTAAATAAAGGAAATACTGTTAATGTTTTAAGGATGTTTATGTTTTGAGTAAAAAAATAATACCATTAATAATTGGGTTTCCGGAGTCCTTTCTGAAGTTTGTATTTCTGGTACCTGACATTACATCTTATGGCATACATGGTCTGAACCAACGAAGTGACATTTATGTCCGATTCGACACTCATAACAAATAAGCTTGACACCTCTGAGATGAGCAGTTACATGGTGTGGGTTCTTTGATGCTCTTGAAGCAAGCCACTGTGACCGAATCTCTTTCCATACTCTGAGCATTCAAAAGGCTTCCCTCCTATGTGGATTTAGATGCTTCTGAAGATGGCTGCTCCGACTGAATCTCCTCCCACACTCTGAGCATTCAAAAGGCTTCTCCCTTGTGTGGGTTCTGAGGCAGAATTTGGGGTTCTTCAAATTTTATTGCATTGTTAGAGACCAGCATAGAGAAATTACTACTCAAAAAAAGAATGAAAATTGATATAAGTAAAAAATAACACAAACTAAAATAGACAATAATATAAATTGTAATATACATGAGTGATATTTACATAAACCCTGATAACGAAAGCAACTGGTCGGTTTTACAGGCTGTTGCACAAATTTTTGCAACTGATGTTGTAGTTGTTGGATTTCCGTCTTCTAGGAGTAACCTAACGTATCCCAAACTCGTCTTTCACGGTATTCCATTGATCAAAGGAGTGGTGGTCTGGATGCGACCATCTTGATAGAAGGGACAACGTAGCAGAATGTGATCGACAGCCTCCATTTCTCCTTCATTGCAGGGGCAAAACCTTTTTCCATGGGGGATTCTATTAAACCGCCCCTCTAAAACAGCAGAGGGGACCGCAGCACACCTTGCAAGTGTAAAGGCCCCCCTGTGACTATGCACTTCCAAGAGGGTCAGATAGGCAGCCGGCTTGACTACATATCTGGTGTTCATAGGGAAGAAGACAGTAGGGACCCTCCCAGAATCAAGTGGACGTTCAGTGTCCAATATCCTTTGTTTTATGACTCGTTTCGCCTGGTCAAGGCCCATAGTTAAAATCATGGAAGGGGAAAAGCCCAGGTTCGCAAGTCTGCAATTGACTGTTTTAAGCCATACAGATTGATGATCATCCAAGAGGCTCAATGGGGTCGAACCTTGCTGAAAACTGCTAATCTTCAGCCAGTAATTTAAGGAGGCAAGGCACAACTTGGCTTCCACTCTGACAATGCCGGTGTCCAAAAGTAGCAAGGCATTTGGTACGCAACTGGGGACTTGTAATGCTGCTTTTAGGAATGCTGATTGAACATACCCAAGAGGGGCAAAAGGAGATGATGTTTGCTCTATCGTAGCTCTGTGCAAAAACTGGGCCAAGGTTTTGGCCTGGAAGAGTTTTAGGGCAGCAGGGATGTAATGTCCACCCTTAGTTCGAAGAAATCTATTGTGAGCCAACTTTTCCCCGGTATCTGCTGCATGGGCAACGTGTGCTTTTCTAGAACTGGAACCATGGAATATTGTACCAAGATACTCTGCACCTGTTTATTCAAATGGCCATCGATGGTCCACGTTCTAAACTTCTGTTTCTTACCAAAGGCCATTATTTTTCTTTTTTGATAGTTTGTTGAAAGTCTTCTTTGCAATCCTGCACAAGAGCCTGTAGGGCTCTTCTTAGCCCAGCAGAATAACTGCATCATCTGCATATCATAAGAGACCTGACAATGCTGTAGTATAGGAGAATGAAAGGCCTGGTCATTTAAACATTTGACCAAATCATTACTATAAAAGCTGAAGAGAGCCGGTGCTAAAATACAGCCCTGTTTCAAACCTCTCAGAGTGGGGATGGCGTTTGAAAGATGTCCCAACTTGCTGCACCTGACATAAGGACCAGGAAAAGCCCGTGGTCAATTTTAGTAGCCTCCAACTTCTCCCAGTGCTTAGCGGCTTTAGATCAATGTAGGCGACATGTTAAGATACTACTCTCGTTGAAGAGTATTTTTCTATGAGTTGATGGGAGGATCATCTGTACTTTGGCTGCGGTCACACGGAACAGAAGCCACACAAGTGAGACGGAAAACAGGCGGAGTTTCCAGGCGTGATCTCACAAGCACATCTGGGAAGCGTAGCACTCCCGTGGCTCAACCGAGGCTTCCAGCCAAAACTGCGTGGCAAAAAACTAGTACCTCGGAGGTACTAGTTTCCAGAAACTGCGGGGCAAGGGCGGGCGTCTGATCGCGTTTCCGGTGGCATCCGGCGCCCGCCCATGTCCCCTTGCAAATAAGGTGGGGTTTTTTGTCCAAGTCTCTGTGGATGCGCACACGCACCCAACGGAGCATGCGCATTTGTCGTGTACACACACACACAAAAAAAAAAAGTTTGCCGCAGCGCGCGCTTCTTCGTTGCGCGCCGGCTTGTCCTGTGATCAGCACCTCTCCCTTGCCATGGAACCTCCACGGTACCTCCACGGGAGGTCTGATCGCGTAACAGCGCAGTAGTTTGCCCCAGGGCAAACAGCCACACTTCTCCCCCGCAGTTTCCTGCCCGTGTGACCGGGGCCTATATCTACTTTATATATAACTGACTTTGGTTCCCAGGTTCAAAACGCCAAAAAGCCCTTACTCTTTTGCTGGCAGCCTAGGCATAAAAACTAAAGCCTTGCCCTGTAGTTGTACCTTTGCTGAATGTACATCCCATTGCCTTACAAGTGCTAGGTTCCAAAGCCTGAATGTATCTGTCTAGGTGTTTTTGACACTGCAATTATTAAAATCTATCTGGGCAAAAGTTCATTGTTGGCAAAGGTTCATCTTATCAACTTAGGGTCGGCTGGTATTTGGCAAGGTTGGCGTATTTTAATTGACTCCTCCCTTGATTCCTGTTGGATGAAAACAATCTAAATTTTTAAAAGGAGGCTTTGGGCTCTGTTTGAGACAGTTTAGCCAACACCCCACCTAGACATAAGTGAGGTCTTGGTCCACAGTCCAGGAATCCCGTGTTCTTTCTGAAGTGTACACTATATCGAGCACTGGTAATTCTCTATATGCAATCAAGTATAATATATGCTATTAAGTTTTACTTGTTTATGATTTTAGAGTTCAAAAATTCCTTTAGAGGGTGTGGTTCCAGAGTTTATAAATACTTTTGGTATAAGGCAACTGTTCTTGCTGTGTTGCTCTCCCTCTGGAAGCCTGAGTTCCCTAGCCAGACTCCACCCACCTATACAAAAGAACCCTAATGGAGTTGGGGATCCCTGGTAGTGGCCTGAACCCCCGAAAATTCCCTACAGGTTCTTAGATGTTCTTGAAGAGTGCTACTGAGACTAAATCTCTTCTCACATTCTGAGCATTCAAAAGGCTTCTCCCCTGTGTGGGATCTTTGATGGCTTTGAAGATCGCCACTGTGACTAAACTTCTTCCCACACTCTGAACATCCAAAAGGCTTCTCCCCTGAGTGGGTTCCCTGATGTTTTCGAAGACTCCTACTAAGACTGTATCTCTTCCCACACTCTGAACATTCTAAAGGCTTCTCCCCTGTGTGGGACCTTTGATGTTCTTGAAGAGCACCACTGCGACAGAATCTCTTCCCACACTCTGAGCATGCAAAAGGCTTCTCGCCTGTGTGGGTTCTGAGATGTCTCTTAAGAGTGCCATGGCTACTGAATCTCTTCCCACAGTCTGAGCATTCAAATGGTTTCTCCCCAGTATGGGTTCTTAGATGGGGTTGAAGAGCGCCACTGCAACTGAATCTCTTCCCACACTCTGAGCATTCAAAAGGCTTCTCCCCTGTGTGGGTTCTTAGATGCATATGAAGAGAACCACTCCGACTGAATCTCTTCCCACACTCTGAACATTCAAAAGGCTTATCTCCTGTGTGGGATCTTTGATGTCCATGAAGCGTACCACTCTGACTAAATCTCTTCCCACACTGTGAGCATTCAAAAGGCTTCTCCCCTGTATGGGTTCTTAGATGAGTTTGATGATGGCCACGGTGACTGAATCTCTTCCCACAGTCTGAGCATTCAAAAGGCTTCTCCCCTGTGTGGGTTCTTAGATGTATTTGAAGAGTGCTATTGCAACTGAATCTCTTCCCACACACTGAACATTCAAAAGACTTATCCCCTGTGTGGGATCTTTGATGTCCTTGAAGAGCGCCACTGTGACTGAATCTCTTCCCACACTCTGAGCATACAAAAGGCTTCTCCCCTGTGTGGGATCTTTGATGGTCTTGAAGAGTTCCACTGTGACTGAATCTCTTCCCACACTGTGAGCATTCAAAAAGCTTCTCCCCTGCATGGGTTCTTAGATGGATTTGAAGAGTGCCACTGCGACTGAATCTCTTCCCACACTGTGAGCATTCAAAAAGCTTCTCCCCTGCATGGGTTCTTAGATGGATTTGAAGAGTGCCACTGCGACTGAATCTCTTCCCACACTGTGAGCATTCAAAAAGCTTCTCCCCTGCATGGGTTCTTAGATGGATTTGAAGAGTGCCACTGCGACTGAATCTCTTCCCACACTCTGAGCATTCAAATGGTTTCTCCCCTGTGTGGGATCTGAGATGGATTTGAAGAGTGCCACTGCAACTGAATCTCTTCCCACACTCTGAGCATTCAAATGGCTTTTCCCCTGTGTGGGTCCTTAGATGTATTTTAAGAGTGCCACTGTGACTGAATCTCTTCCCACACTGTGAGCATTCAAAAAGCTTCTCCCCTGCATGGGTTCTTAGATGGGTTTGAAGAGTGCCACTTTGTTTGAATCTCTTCCCACACTCTGAGCATTCAAATGGCTTTTCCCCTGTGTGGGTCCTTAGATGTATTTTAAGAGTGCCACTGTGACTGAATCTCTTCCCACACTGTGAGCATTCAAAAAGCTTCTCCCCTGCATGGGTTCTTAGATGGGTTTGAAGAGTGCCACTTTGTTTGAATCTCTTCCCACACTCTGAGCATTCAAAAGGCTTCTCCCCTGTGTGAGTTCTTAGATGGATTTGAAGAGTTCCACTACGACTGTATTTCTTCCCACACTCTGAGCATTCAAAAGACTTCTCCCCTGTGTGGGTTCTTAGATCTTTTTGAAGATGGTCACCACGACAGAATCTTGTCTCACACTTTGAGCATTTAATCGGTTTCTCCCCTCTGTGGATTCTTTGGTGCACAAGGAGATGTGATCTGTATTTGAAGTGGTTTCCACACCAAAAGCATTTACATGCATTCATTATACTGTGCTTTGGAAAATGTGTGTTAACTTTGCCTTCCATAGAGAGCATCATTCCACTCTCTGAGCAAAGAAATTGCTTCCATCCTGTATGAATCCTTTGGTGTTGAACAAGGTCTGATTTCTCTGAGAATCTCTTGCCACAGTCTGAGGAGCTATAAGGTTTCTCTCCTCTATGTGTTCCTTGATCTCTAAGGAGCTCTGCTCTATGAATCATGGTCTTTCCACACACCAGCCAGTGATGGGTCTTTTTTCCACTGTGCATTCGTAAATGGACATTATACTGGGACTGATCTGAGAAGTTCATTCCACACACCAAGCACTTGTGTGTTTCCTTCGCCATATGAATTATGTCTTGGAAAAAAAACCCTTGGCAAGGAATGGGTTTACCCCTCTTCTGCATGATGTGGCTTCCTTGCTGCCTCTTAGATCCAACTTGGTTTCTGAAGTTTCCTCTGAAGTCTTCATTCTTGACTTCATCTGGCGATAGAGGATGCAGTTCCTCATCCTCCTCATTCCTCTGATCATCCCCTGCTGGAATAAAGAAAGCGATGGTGTTAGAACCCACGCAAGGAGATCTGATCTGCACCTGACTTTCCATCTGCAAAGCAAATATTACAGTGGCTTCTCCCCGCTGTATGCTGAAGTCTACAATAACATACACTTTTAAAGTTCATTAAGCCTCCTGCAGGAGAGATGCTTGATTTAAACTCTAACCGTTTATATGGTTTCCCAGCCTTGTTACTTTTTTGATGTGAAGGAAGGGCTCTTTTTGGACTGAAGCTCTTTCCACACTGCAAACAATTACACAGTTTCCTACGGGAATTTGTGTCTGTCCCTTCTCTTTTTGATTAACCTTTCTTTCTGGAATGGGATTTCAAGGAAACCCCCTCCTCAGTAAGGAATGGGCTTATCCTTCCTCTTACCTGCTTGGCTTCCCTCCTGCCTCTGGGGTCCATCTCCATCTTCAAAGTGTCCTTCGGCAACTTCACTCTTGACTTTTTCCAAAGAGAACCCCTGGAATTCCCCAGCTGTCTCCTCTACATCTGCTCCTGGAATAAAGAAAGAGTTTCAATCATCACCCAGGCAAGAAGCCAAGGCACCAGTCAGGCACTGCTTAGGAATGGGTGAGCATTTCTCTTATCCAATCATCTTTTGTCCCAAACTCAGACACTGGTCACATCCCTGTCAGGCCCTCCCGTGGAGCTGTTTTTATATTCTGTCTGTCCCTTCCCTCCCCAAATCCCCCATATGTATTTTAAGGGGGGAAATGGCAAAATATTGTTCCCCCATCCCATTCCTATTTGACTTACTGTGCTTTTTGACTTCTAATTCTCTTCAACTGACGATTAAATACAAGAGGTTATCAAGATATCCAGGCCTGCAACTGCACTGGGAGTTTCCTTCCAGTTGTCAACAGAGCCAGGAGCTGCTTTTCAGCCTCCCCAAAATACATGTTTTACGGGGGGAGAGCCAGGAGCTCACCAAGTGAACCCCACAATTCAAAGGGGCCCCCCATGATTTTCGGAAAAGGTGCCGTTTGTTGGGGGCAGGAAATGACAGATGAGAAAACCAGCCTTGCAGTGTAGGGGCACCTTTCTCAAGGTCAGAGCCATTTTTCTGCTATTTCTGAGCCGTTCTCTGCACCTTAGCTGGGCCTCTCTGTTGTTTAAAGCACACCCATGTCTGAATCATGTAGACAGTCCTGCCTTTCCTAGAAGCACAGAGTCAGCCAGTCTCTCTGGAAAGAAGTATATTTTATTGTCAGCAAGAGGTAGCCAGAAGACTGATTATCAGGGCTCCAGGTCATCAACTTGTTACAGTAGAGTAAGGACCTCTGGAAGCCCATCCCAGAGGAACATGCAGTGTTAAAAAGTCCAGATAAGACCCCAGAAGAGTCTGTCCTGTTCCATCCTTCCAAAATACCTGGAATACAGTGAACAGGCAGCAAGCGTGCAGATATGCATGTGTTCAGCATGACCAGGGTGATGGAATCTAAACGTGGGGAAGTTAGTTTGGCAGACCCTTAGAGCAGCAGAAGTTTGTCCTTGTCAACCCTCTTCCCTGGGGACAGGGGGAGATCGACCATTGGACACTTACCGTGAGTGGTCCTTCTCCTCTGAGGACAGGAGGACATCTGCATGGGTTATTCCCACCGTGCCAATAGGGAGGCAGGACGTAGATTTCCCCCCCCCTGTTGGTGCCTTTGGAATATCCCATCTCCAGTTCTGGGATTCCGAAAGCAGTCTTGCAGCCTGAAAAACTAACCTTGCCCTATAAAAAACATAACTGCGAACAATTATAACGATTGAATACTCACTCTATCCTGTAACTAAGATAGAGCAGAAAAAATGAACAAGAACAGTAAGAATAGGAAGAAAAGATGACAGCGGGAGGGCCCAGATGTCCTCCTGTCCTCAGAGGAGAAGGACCACTCACGGTAAGTGTCCAATGGTCGTTCTCCCTCTGAGGCGGAGGACATCTGCATGGGACCTCCACGAGCAGTGTCCCTTATCTGGGTGGGTTGTCATCTTCTTCCAGGGAGATTGCGTGCTGTAGAACTCTTCTCCCGAAAGCTGCTTCTGCAGATGCCATGGTGTGTATCTTGTAATGCCTTGTAAACGTAGAAAGTGAAGACCACGTTGCGGCCCTGCAAACTTCCTCCACAGAAGGTCTGTTTATTAGCGCTGCATTGGTTGCTGCACTCCTCAGGGAGTGTGCTGTTATGCCAGCTGGAGGATCCTGACCGACGGCTCTGTACGCTTCCACGATACAAGCTTTCAGTATCGCGCTGATTGAAGATTTTGATAAGCTTTTCTCCCATGCGAGGTGGGGAGATGCCAAGAAACAATGAATCGGACTTCCTCCAAGAATCCGTCCTCGCGATGTAAATCTTCAAGGCCCTTCTAACGTCCAGTGTGTGCCAAAGACGTTCTTTAGGGTGCTTAGGTTGCGGACAGAAGGTTGGCAAACATATCTCCTGAGAACGATGGAATCTAGAATCCACCTTGGGCCGAAAGGTAGGATCAGTCAGAAGTACTACTTTGTCTTTGTGGAATGTGCAGCAGGAAGACCTCACCGATAATGCGTTCAGCTCGGAGACTCTCCTAGCTGAAGTAATGGCGACTAGAAACAGTGTTTTCATTCGCAACCATTTTAGTCCGACTTCTCGGAGAGGTTCAAATGGTGGTTTCATCAGAGCGTCCAGAACAACGTTTAGTCTCCATGTCAAAAAGCGGTGCGTTTGAGGAGACTTGGCTATTGCTCCTTGAAGAAACAGTTGGATGTGAGGATGTTTGGACAATCTCACCCCTTCCAAAGTAGGAATCACCGTGGTGATCGCAGCTAGTTGCCTTCGCAGTGTGGAGGCTCGTAATCCGGTGTCTAGCCCGTCTTGCAGGAAGGCAAGCAGAGAGGGAACTGAAGGCGACAGCGGATTAACACTCTTGCGTCTACACCAGCGAACAAACGCCTTCCAGGTGGTA